CTTAGGGCTTTCAATATTATTCTTTTTTATGGTCGTGTAGCTAATCTCTGGTACAACGCATCACCTTGATCCATTCGTAATCATTTTCATTCATTCATTTAAGTTGCAACATTGTCACGGAAACCCTTGCAGTGACCCGTCAGCCTTTTCAGGCTTTGAGCACGCGAACAAATCGTGCTTTGAAGAGCTATTCATTTTATTCAATCGACCATGGTCGCTTGTTTTATTACATAACTTGATTCGGCTTAAAATGACATTTTTTTAATCTGTGAGTTATCCGAAGGCAATCTGGTCCTGGAAGCAACAGTTAAAAAAAAATTCAAAAGATGACAAAACCCTTATAATTCGTATTTTCGCGATGGACGTGAATTTGCCGTAAGTAAAACGAAAATTAGAGGCAAGAAGATTCATTGAATCGTAACAGGATAAATTTGTATTGATATTAAGTCGGTTCGCTCGTTGAGAGTGAAATAGCGCAGTCAGTTTGGCGAGTTTGGGTAACTGTTTTGAGTGAAATAAAGTTGAGTCAGTTGAAATTTCTCAATCCATGGAACTATCATAGTAGCAATAGCCAGGAGCCTATGGTTTGTTCTTCTAGGATATTGCCCTTCCGTTTTGGGTTTTGTTTAATTGTTCAGACCACATTGAGAGTGATAGTCAAAACGCGGCGCCGTCGTTCTTTACGACCAACGCGGTGTCATGCTGTTATAAATCATTGGAAACTGTCACGTAAAAAATCTTGTTATAGAGTCATTAAAACGAATCAACCGTGCTGCCCACAATGACAGGCAGGAATACTTTGGTTATGAACTTGAGTGTCATATCTCTGATCATCATAAGTAGTACATACATACATACATTCTTTATTCAAGACGCAAAGTTACAAAAGTATACGTATAAAAACAACAAATAAAAAAAGAAAAGGCGTCTCGAAAAGGAAGTTATGAGGTGAACCCTATGTAAAAACTCCCTAAAATAATACGAGAAATACAGAAAATATATAAAAACAAGGATCCTTAATTAAACTTTCAGATACAATTTGAGTAAGGCAGGTAAGGTTATTTCGTCAGGAAGCTTCAGCTGCCATTTGCTGTTCCAGTTCGATTGTCGATTATAATGTTAAGCCCATATTAGGCTGCTATAGATGGGGAAGACTGGGAAGAAAGAAATGTAAAGCGTGCAGTGGACGACGGGAAGAGGCTTCCTATATCCCCCCTGCACGCCTTCTCTCTCCCATTTTGTCTCTCTTCTCGGCGTCAAACCTTGTAGGGGGAAGGGGGAAAAGCGAGTCATTTCCGCAGCAGGGTCTATAAGGCTGACATCTGTACTATCTGTGCTATCGAAGGTTTATTTTGTCAAGGTTGATCAGCATGTAGATTAGAAATTTTGGGGTTTCAGTTTTTCAGAGGTGACTTTTCCGGGGTTGAAATCAAAATTTAGCGATGAATACCAGATAAGAGTACGGGAAAATGATTTCTGTTTTTTTGTCAGTGACACAGGCTTACTCGGAAAAAGAATTCCGAGTTCTCCAGCTAGGAGTCGAACCTAAGACCATCTCGTTACTAGTCTAGATGCCAAGGCCCCGTTTACAAGCAGGAAGCGTAATCCTAGTGCTAGGTTTACCATGGCAAGAGGGTTATCCTAGCACCAGTACATTAGACTCTTCCAGGCGTTCAGTTAGTTGGGGCGCAACGCAAAAAACGGCGTGCGATAAAATAAAAAAGCGCGGCGCCTTTTTATTTTCTCGCGCCCCTTTTTTTCAGTCGCGCTGCGTCAACTAACTGGACGCCTGGAAGAGACTACTAGAGCATTTGTTTTTTCATCAACGTGTTTGCAAGGCAGGTGGGGTGTCCCTAGTGGTAGGGTGAACATAGATGAGCGCTAGGGCTACCCTAGCGCCAGAGTAACCCTAGCCGCCTACCCGGGACAATTTTTACCGGTTTCCGGCCCTTTGAATGTTGTCTGACAAACCGCTATCGTCGCTTCGATAACAAGAATAATGAAAACATTNGAATACCAGATAAGAGTACGGGAAAATGATTTCTGTTTTTTTGTCAGTGACACAGGCTTACTCGGAAAAAGAATTCCGAGTTCTCCAGCTAGGAGTCGAACCTAAGACCATCTCGTTACTGGTCTAGATGGCAAGGCCCTGTTTACAAGCAGGAAGGGTAATCTTAGTGCTAGGTTTACCATGGCAAGAGGGTTATCCTAGCACCAGCACATTAGATTCTTCCAGGCGTTCAGTTAGTTGGGGCGCAACGCAAAAAACGGCGCGCGATAAAATAAAAAAGCGCAGCGCCTTTTTATTTTCTCGCGCCCATTTTTTTCAGTCGCGCTGCGTAAACTAACTGGACGCCTGGAAGAGACTACTAGAACATTTGTTTTTTCATCAACGTGTTTGCAAGGCAGGTGGGGT